TATATATATATATAAACTCTTACATACACTCTTCTAAAGTACGAAGCAGAACCAAAAGACAAGACCATGATCTATTTGGAGGAATGTTCCAAAGGCATGATATTGTGACTTAGTGCTTGTAATCACAAAGATGAGAAGCACACCATTTTACCGTCGCAGTCATGTTGGCACCTTTTTCATGTCATTAATCGGGTGATAGTAAAGTTCCACCTAAATATTAGTGTTGTTAGCAACAGTGGGTTCTTGACTCTTGTCCTTTGTTTTGGTGAGCAATTTGGGCTGTCAATTAGATTGGCTCATAAAACAAACAACCAGTAATGATCGTGAAGAATTTTGTAGTCACTTAATTAAAAGTTTCTTTTTTGGACAGCACGATCCTGTGGCGGGTATGTGTGTGCCATTGTTGTCAAAACAAAGATGTCAGCAAATGGGAATCACGTACCGATAGAACGTTCCCTTGTGAAACTACCCTTTGCGTGAAACAACATATCTTCCTTCGACACTGTTGTCCTTTCATGAGTTTGATGGCATGACTCCCACATTCTACATTCCAGAGCTGCCACGAGGTGTTATAAAGCAACTGCCGTTCATTTGCTCACCTGCGTTCTCAGCATTAAGCCTCACGGCTGTCGAGGTAACACGAGACACCTTTACATTCTGCCTTGTTGAACTTAACGGGATCCGTGCCTTTATCCGTAACTCCGGCAGACCAAGTACTTTTTTTTTTTTCTTGTCGTTCCCTAGATGGCTTTTGCTCTTCGCCCTTTGATCCTCCTTTGCGGAATCAGTGGACTGCTGACCGGAGCTGTAAGTCAGTCTGTTCTGCTGGATGAAATAATCGCATATTTTCCTGCAGTCTGATTTTAAGAATATACTTTTCTTCTTCACAGTGGTCTAAGCCTTCCATTGCAAAGAAAGGTCAGAAATTGTGTCCCGAAACTTAAAAGCAAAACAATTCATTTGTTTTTGTCGCTGTTTAATACCAGATTTGATCCACATGTTTCTAATTTTCTTCCTAAAAACAACAACTGTGTTTGCAGACAATTGTTGTCCTAAAGGCTGGACTCAGTTGGATTGTCGCTGTTTCATCTATCAAGATAGCAGAAGGCAGTTTGCAGATGCAGAGGTAGGGAAAACATTTTCAGGGTTGACTGCTGTCACAAAGCAATGTTCCATCTGTTTCTGGGATGATTGACTAAATATCATGGGTTCATCTAAATAAAGTTTTCACTCCAAATAAAGTTGTTGTTTCTTCTTGTAGAGCATCTGCAACATTCTTGGTGGGAATCTGGCCTCTGTCCACAGTGCTCTGGAATATTCTGTAGTTCTGGAAATCATTCGGGCAGCCTCTGACTCGACCGTCGATGTTTGGCTTGGAATCCACGAGGCAATAGAGGTGAAACACATCCTAATTCTTGAAACAACTGTCAAAAATGATTTTGAGAGAATCATCAACTAGAGATTGACATGTTTGGGGGAAATCCCATGAGATTCCCACGGGATGGGATTCAACATGATGGTTCATCACGGAGTTGGGATGGTATAGGAAAAAAAAGGTCACGGGATCAGGACGATCCAGTCGGGGGGAAATAAAAAACACTGGATCGATGCGCAGCCATTTCCACTTAAAGTGTCACAGCATTGGGACTTGCTGTCTTAATCTTAAACCATACCTGTCAACTTGTACGTTTTCCCCGTATTCTATACGTTTTTTTTATCATTTCAAATCATGTGCGGCGTATTACAACTTTTATACGGGGAAACAAATTTTTTTATTAATTGTGAACCGATCTCACAAAGACCCATTTGGCTCAAATCCAGATCGTCGGTGGACAACGACAATGCCGTCGTCGATCGCTACTATTGTCACGGCAAACCAGCAAAAGTAATCCTCAATCATATATTTTTTTTCATCGCTGCGTACAGTAGGGATGATAAAGCATGGTGTGCGCATGCGCGGTAAACCGTCTGCATTTCCGCTTGTGTTCGCTTGTGTTGCGCGGTGCGGTTTTTGTTGCTTTGTAAGAGGAATCGTAATCATTTATAAGGGCAGCTATTAGCCGAGGTTGACAGGTATGTCTTAGATAGAGTCGAGACGATCTTTTTGGGGCAGCATCAATTGTGCACCACCCTTAGTGCCTTGTGTAATAAGAATAATATTGATAATAAGTCATTCGAGCTGGGCGCTAAATAGATGACATTATGAATCGCGATAGACACGTGATCAATATCAATAGAAAAAATGTTCAATAACATGTTCTCGACAGGAAAAAAAACCCACGAAGAAAACAACGAGCCCGGACTGTCGCGCGTTCGGTGTTGTAGGCAGACACTACAGATTGGGATTTGATTTCTGCCACAATTACAAGTTCATACGAGGACATTTTGAGCACAAAAGTGTGTTTTCAGCACACATCTGCCGATGCGAAGAAACAGCTGCTGAACCAATGACCAAGTGCACACATGCAGGCAGTTTGTGCATGTGGAGTTCGTACGCTGTACAAAAACTACGGCTTGTTTCAATAAATAACCTCAATGCAATTTTTGCAGTCAGATTCTGTTGTGAAAGCTAGCACAATTAAACACCATCAGCATCAGACCGCTAAATTTAAAGTAGACCCACGACGGTTCGTCAACAGTGATGCTTATTTGCTGCAGTCAGATCTAAGGCCAGCTGAGTCTTATCTGGTGCCACCAATTTCTACTCGTTGCAGTCAGTTGCGGTTTGGTGCCGGGCAGTGCAGATGGACCCGGAATGGTCCCGTTCGTTTCTGCTTTGCTTGTACTGTAAAAATCATTTGTGCTGCTACAGTTTCGTAGATATTGTGCAATTTAGTGTCTGGTGATGACGCTCACACTCTGAGTGCCCCCTCCCCCCAAAAAAAAAAAAAAATCCTCAAAAGAGTTTTGAAGGGCACGGGGGATTATAAACATGTTTCTCGACTACATTGCCTCAAACTATTTGCAAGTTGTCAGTGTTTGAAGGAATTGTTTTTGGCTTTTTGTCAAATCTCTCTCTCTTTTTATCAATCTATCTATATACATATCTATCCATCTCTCTCTCTCTCTCTCTCTCTCTCTCTCTCTCTCTCTCTCTCTCTCTCTCTCTCTCTCTCTCTCTCTCTCTCTCTCTCTCTCTCTCTCTCTCTCTCTCTCTCTCTCTCTCTCTCTCTCTCTCTCTCTCTCTCTCTCTCTCTCTCTCTCTCTCTCTCTCTCTCTCTCTCTCTCTCTCTCTCTCTCTCTCTCTCTCTCTCTCTCTCTCTCTCTCTCTCTCTCTCTCTCTCTCTCTCTCTCTCTCTCTCTCTCTATATATATATATATATATAGAGAGAGAGAGAGAGAGATCTATATATAGATATTTATTTATTTATTTATTTATTTGCACAATTTCTCCAAAGCATTTCAGTGGTCGCCAAATACACACAGATTTTTGCTATTCGCAGGCGGCAGTTGTTTTGTCTGTATTTAAAATGGCATTATTGTCATAGATCTAAGTGTGTGGTCCTCCGTGGCTCCCCAATCGTGCTGATGAAAAATTGCGGCCTCCCTCCATCATTTCATTCACCCATCCCTGTATTATATTGTGACAAGCATGCGTTTCCCTTCCGTCATGCAAACGTGTTCTTTCGACTTACAGGATGACGTCTTCTTTTGGACCGATGGCTCAGAGGTTGATTTCACTGCCTTCAACAATGACATGGATCCTGGAGATTGCATTGAGCTTGAATTCGATGGTAATTATGGAATAAAAATGTCGACTTCCAAATTTGATCAGACAGGGCTCCTGCTAAAGAATGAGGGAAATGACACACAAATGACATACAAAGGATTCTCATTCTCCTCGCACTGTTTTGTGTTTCCTTCTAGATGGTCTCTGGGACAATGACAGCTGCACTGACTTGAACAGATTTGTTTGTGCCAGAGAGGCTGACCAATGCAAGCACTGAATTACCCTCCAACTCTTGTAGAAACTACAAGCATACAATACCTTCGCTAGAACTGGGATTACTCTTCTCACAACAAAGTTAATTGGTGTCTGTAATCTTTGGTTTATTGCAATTCATTACAACAGATCAGTATATTCAGCTTGATTGATTCAGTCAAAGAAGTTTGACAAAAAAGTAAAACAAATCGATCATGCAATAAAACATTCTGGTATTCCATTCATTCCACTTTAAAGACACAGAGATCAGTGTTTCCCAACCTTTTTTTTAATCGACACTGGTGCCTTGAGATACAAAAATAATTTATTCCTAGACCACATGCGTAACTCAAAACATTTGAATCTCAAATCATCTTTGCTCACCGAAATGAACTGGAAGGCCATTAATCTGTTTCCCCACAATGCCTTGGCTGCACCGAGAAAATCTGTCCATAAGTTATGAACAGAATCAATGACAAAGGGCAACCCTGGTTGGGTCCAACCCTCACCGGAGACGAATCTGAATTCCTGCTGGCAGCAACCTGGATTTAGGTGCCTGGTACTCAATACCGCATCCCTCACAAGATCCCATGCTGTACATAGTCGAACGCCTTCTCCAAGTCCGCCTCACAGACGCCAGACTCTGCTTCCTCATGGGAAGACATGTCGGTAGAATTGAAGAGGTCTTCCAAGTATTCTCCCTGCCGATTCACCACGTCCCAAGTTGAGGTCAGCAGCACCCAATCCTCACAATTCACAGTGTTGATGGTGCACTGCTCCCTCTTCCTGAGACACAATTATGCCTCTAAAGCCATCAAGAGGTTATTCTCCATGGCTTCGCCGAACTCCCACACCCGAGTTTTGATCTGCACGTCGCTGATGACACCTCGAGAAAAGACTGCAAAGAATTTTCCAGTGTACGTGTTAAACTAAGGCTGTAATTAGCATAACTATTGTTTTATGACCCGTAATGACTGAAATTCTCAAGATAATCACACCAGTTCTGTTACATCTTTGGAAAACAAGAAAAAAATATAAACAAACACGAAGAGTCTGGTTGCCTTAACGCAAACTTTGTGGATTTTCATGACCTGAATGTGAGAATCGACACAGACATAAAGAACAAAATTACTTTTAATCAAGCACATTGGTATTATTTAATGGATATGATGACAGTAATTTGTCCATGACTAAGGCAATTATGCTACTAAATTAAGTATACAGTACAAAGAAAAGCTCTATCTGCTGTGACATGTACGGACCGACCACCTTAAGGCCAGAGCTCCAGTCAGCTGCCCAACAATGGACTCAAAAGCCCCGTTCACACGGCAACGTTTGGTCCGACGCTGTGCCGAAACAGATCCAGTCGAGCGTTCACACGTGCACATTTGCTCCGACGTAGCTCCACTAAAGAGCTTATACCGGACCAAATTTGATCCACCTCAGGGAGGTGGTTTAAAAATTTGCTCCAGAGCAAATGCTCGTTTGCGACGCTACGCCGGAACAAATGTGCACGTGTGAATGCAGCTGGGTTAAATTTGCTCCAGAGCAAATGCTCGCTTGCGGGGGAGTGGCCTCGCTACGCTCGCTACCAGATGCACGGAATCCGACCCC